ACAATCAAAACTTTCCAAAACTAAATCTAATCATATATGCCTGAAATACCTGATGCTCTTCATACAAGGTCTTTCAGTTGCTTCATGACAGCAAAAGAATTTGTCGAAAAAACTTCTCTATAGACTATAGACATATTATAGTTCTATGAAAAACTGCTCGACTTCTCGAAACACGCAGCCGTATATAAAGTCTATCTTTTCTGTAAATTAACATCCTTGCACGTAACATTCCATTCAAACTGCCGACGGGCGGTGGCTACGTCAAAAACATGTAAAATGTGCTGAAATATTTCAACTTTCCATTTTGCCATCCTTGCTCATACTTGTTTTATCTAAGTCACTTATTTTAGGCACCCAAAAGACAATAATTTTCTTTTTTAAACACACTATACGGAGTTGAGCGTCGTCAAGTCATGTTTGTTTTAGTTAGTACAACACCATCCACTACAATTAATACAACATTGTTCACTACAGTTGATCCAACATCGACCATTACAGTTGATCCAACATCGTCCACTACAGTTGATCCAACATCGTCCATTACAGTTGATCCAACATCGTCCATTACAGTTGGTCCAACATCGTCCACTGCAGTTGATCCAACATCGTCCACCACAGTTGATCCAACATGGTCCACTGCAGTTGATCCAACATCGTCCACCACAGTTGATCCAACATCGTCCATTACAGTTGATCCAACATCGTCCATTACAGTTGATTCAACATCGACCACTACAGTTGATCCAACATCGACCACTACAGTTGATCCAACATCGACCACTACAGTTGATCCAACATCGTCCACCACTGTTGATCCAACATCATCCACTACAGTTAGTACGACATCGTCCACTACAGTTGATCCAACATCGTCCACCACAGTTGATCCAGCATCGTCCACCACAGTTGATCCAACATCGTCCACTACAGTTAGTACGACATCGTCCACTACAGTTGATCCAACATCGTCCACCACAGTTGATCCAACATCGTCCACTACAGTTAGTACGACATCGTCCACTACAGTTGATCCAACATCGTCCACTACAGTTGATCCAACATCGTCCACCACAGTTGATCCAACATCGTCCACTACAGTTAGTACGACATCGTCCACTACAGTTAGTACGACATCGTCCACTACAGTTGATCCAACATCGTCCATTACAGTTAGTCCAACATCGTCCACTACAGTTGGTCCAACATCGTCCACTACAGTTAGTCCAACACCGTCCACTGCACCAGGTAGATATAGTATTGGTATATTGTTTATTTTTAATCTTTGAAGCGTTCCAAACTTTCTTTGCATTTTGCAAAATGTTTTTTTTCTACGAAAACTCCATGATTTGCCAAATTTTGCAGACACCAGAAAAGTTTCATTCCAAGTAGCTGAATTATGCAGGCAAAACCACCGTCTCCGTAAAACTAGAAATATTGTGGACTAGACCGCATAGGTTTTTACAGTACAGGTGCACTAGAAAAATTGCACAATTGTAAGATACTCACTAGAATTAAAACTCCGCAAAATTTCTGAAAAATTGATGTGAATATTGATATTTTACTGTAGATTTCCCTGATTATGAAATTAATCTGAAATTTTACACCACATTAAATAAAACGGGAGCCTTGTACGCGTAACTTACGCATTACTGATTTCATGCATGATTCATTTTATGCATGATTGATTTCTCATATATTCGTAAAGGCCCATTTCCAAAATTTTGCAAAATCTGATTGCCAACGGATATTTTCCGTTTGAAAAAAAATTTGAAGTTGAAAATTTTTAACTTTTAACAATGAGAATTTCGGAAAATTTTCTGTCCGTGGAAAATGTTCTGGAGTGGAAATGGGCAGTCATTCCATTTTTTTACGCAAGCCAAATTTAATCTGATTTTTTGAACTCGGAAATTAAATTTTCATATTAGTTTAAGGCCTGTTTCAAACGTCGAGCTTCTCATGTGCCGAACGCATTAAAAACAATAGATAATCAGCTGAAATGCCTCATCAATTGTTTCTAATGCGCGCGACGTTTGAAACATCGGGATTGATGTGACCATGACTTGTTCCATGTGAGAATGAATTGTAGTTGTAGTCCTCTAATTGTAAAACGTATCGAATATTGTTACTTGGCACAAAATATATACAGAACAGGGTATAGAGATGATTCAAAATGTCTTCTGCGAAGAACCGGCCGCGAGGAACTGGATCGATTCGCGTACGGCAATCGCCTGATTTATTGCCTTTAGCTTGTTTTGGAGTATCTTTCGCTTTCCATTATACAGGGTGTCTAAAAAAAACGCTATGGAGACTCAACAGGCTGTTGTGCATCACAAACGTAACTAAACAGTTCAACTTTTACATAGGACGAAAGAGCTGTTATTTAGCTTTTCTATGATACCTTTCTTAAACCGTAACGATGAGAAATGGCCACATAGTCGTCAAATAAATATTGTCGGTCGAAATCACATTGTTCCACAGTTGGGAATTGAAAATACATTAATTATGCAAAGTTAATCAATCCAAAAGCAAC